GACCTTGAGGAGGATAATGAAGCACGACTATTGCAGAAATCCCAGGGACGTCCCTTGGAGATGTTTTGAGGTAAACAGCTATCCCTGCTGCAACAACAAACAACAAACAGGACAACATCCTTCCTGTGTCTGTGAGACATCTCGTGTGATTTATTCATTTGTGGAAACCTTTGCGGTCTCCTTTAAGGGTAGAAAGAATCACTGTAACCATGCAAGAACTACACCTTTAACATTTATTGAAGTGTATGTAAATGTTTCAATGAAAACTTGTCTGAAATTACTAAAAGTGAAATCAAATATCCTTTCTGATTAACTAAGTATTAAACATGCCTGTGCCAGGTGCCTGTTTGTTCTACAGGCTAATGTTGCATGTTTGAGTAGTATAGGAACTATACATTGTACATACAATGTAAAAAAACTGCCATTGAATGCCCCAAAATGTACTATTCCAATCACATTGAAGAAAGTTTGTGAATTCAGAAGCTTTTTCAATCAAAATTAACCATTGTGTTGCTCATGCCAAGAAAATTGCCTTTGGATAAATTAGCTGTCTACATCTACAAGAAAGTAAGAGAGACCCAATTATCATGACCATAGGAATGAGGTAAATATTGCAACGCATGATATTTGAGTCAAGTCTAAAAGTCTTTGTATAAGCATGGAAACTACAGGATGTTTTGACCTTGTACACTGCAATATGAATATTTTTCTGACTGTTTATTTCCATTATATATATAATATGATTGCTCCTTTACAATGTACATAATTATATGTCTTGCCCATTAGACTATAAAGAAGAGACTCGGTTAGCTTTACAGGTCCCATGTGCTGACTAATGTATCGACCTGTTGATGAACACACAGTATACCTTTGCCTATTCAAACTGCCTATTTTTTTATAAAGCTTTATTATATAACATTTTAGCATTGTTTGAGAAGTATGAAACACTTTATTCTGAATTGGTTGAAATTTCTGCTCATCTTTTAATAATAGTCAATGTCTAGGACAATTCTGACAGAAGTGATGCAACCAAATTAAAAGACGAGGAGGGGGGGTGCACAGAGTTATGCATTGTAATTGTTCCAGACCGGAGACAAAAATACAGTGGATGTATCGATCTGCCATTTCAAAGGGATGCCAGGCATATCTTGCTGAAAGGCATCCGTTATCCCAACATATTGCTGTTTCCTTAAACCAGTACCCATCCCAACACCTGACCTCATGTGGTGTAGGTTTGTCATCAATTTTAAAAGCTTGTTCAGCATGTTTCAATGCAATTCTCGATGTTCATTGTGCTTTCAACAAATGTTGTTCACTGTCTACAAACGTAGTCTTCTTGGACAGGTGCTTGAATGTGCCTACTAGTAATAGTATGACAAAAAATGGACCAGGAATAGGTGATTGCTATGGCCAGGTGGCTGGCTTGAAGAGGCAGGTTTGACTGACAATAATTGCTCTTTTAGCTTCAAACAAAACAGGCTATGCTCTTCATCCAACAACTAAGAAATGCCCTCTGTCTGATGAACTATGCTATGTTATATGTTCAGGAAAAAACATATTCTTAACCCTGTTGTACTCCTCCAACAATACCTTTGTAGTTGGTCGTTGCCTGGGGTCCCTGTTGTGACATTGTTGGTGCACTTTGAACAAGTGTAATCTGATAACTTCACTTCCATTTACCTTTCCCAGTAAGTAGTCAACAACACCTGGAATTTTCCAAATGTCAGTTTTTTCATCATAAGAAGGCATTCTTGAGTCATCAAATGTTTCATTTTCAAAGGGCCAAAGCTGCTCAGGTGCAACAAAGTCTGACACAATTCTTCTTGATCCACACTTAATGAAAAGATTTGCTTCATGATTTACTTCTGGTGTGGCATCCAGGTCACTTAAGACAAGTTTAAAATCCTGTGTGACAAGAAACTGGGTTAGAGATTTGTGGACACTGTTTGAGTCGCACATGACTCGTGTGCCAACTGGACTATTGTGTAGGGAATGTATTGCCTCTAGGTAACTCAGAGCCATGTTAAATCTTGTCCGGACATTGTCAAACTTTCTGTATGAATACAACTTTAGGACTTTCTTAATGAAGAAGTTTGCAGATCCAAATTTATAAAACTCTGTAAGGAGAGTTGTGTTGCATGATCCCACAAACTGCAAAACAGAAGGGTGTTGCAGGGTCTTCAGCATCTCTATACCTTCTGAGAAGTCCTCGAAATAAGTTGTATTCTTCAGTCTACTGTACGCCACTGTGTGGTTTCTCCAGACAGCTTTGTAAACCTACAAAGTGCAGAAGGGAAGTATGTTGTTGTAGTTATATTAATTTAGTAAAATGTACTTTAACTTTAAGTCAAGTCTGTGTGGTGTACTTGTAGTGATCTGCACACTCTGCATCAAATTCCATAGAGCCGGTGGCCTGGGTTTGCACCCGATTTGGACACGATTGGGAAAGAGTTGCATATATACATGGTCCTTTTGGATGCAGATGTACATGTAAGGCTTGTGGCCCAGTGTACAAGGAAGATTATCACATCAAACCTCTACACATACGTAAAAGAACCCATGACCAACACACTTTTTTGAGAATAGTATACTTAAGGGTTCTTGGCAAAGTAAAGATTATAAACAAAGTCCCATTGCACTACTAAAAAGTGTCATGCTTTGTCCTCACTCTGAGGTTAATTGCCCAACTTACCTGTTACCTTTTGCAAATGTATATCTAGGATACCAGTTGCTGGCCCGTTTATCTGAGTGATGACAAACCTTCAGTAATGTTTTATAACATATTGTTATTAAAGACTGTGATGCATGTTGCTGTTGCATATTGTTCAAGATCTGATAGAGATGGGAAAACATACATCATTATATTGATGGTTTGGGCACCTCACACGGTATTAAAATCTAAAATAAAAGATTCATAGAAACAGGAAAAAAGTTGTAATTTGGCTGCACTCTGGGCAATTGACATACGTGTACATGACCCTTACACCCCGATGGGGTTTTATGATAGTATGACGGGGTTTAACATTTGACAGCTCAGGCCTGGTACATTATCAATTTATTGAAAGGTAACGTTACCGTTACCTTCTTCACAATGCCTCTTCCTGTTCTTTGTTTTACATTTACAAGTTCATGGTAAATTCAGTGAGGCCGACAACGCTTAACGGTAAATTCAGGATGGTTGGTAATGCTTAACAGTAAATTGACAGGCATTTTTATTCCAGCTGCACTAGATTTGGTAACTGAATTTGTGAGAAAAAGTGGTCACTGGCAAAATTAAGTATTGTAATGAAGCTTAAGCATGCATAAAGCATATTAAAGGTACTTCACACTAGTGTTCCCTGTGTTTCAGGAAACAGAAAAAGTTGTGATCTGGGGAATTACCTGTAACATACTCACTGTATATGCTTAATACTATAGCTACGCCTCTGCTAGCTAATTGACAATTTTACGTGTCACCTACATGTGTACAACAGGGTCTATCAGTGAAAGAATAGGTGCATAATCAATTAGAAACGTAACATTACCGTTACCTTCTTCACAGTGCCTGATCCAATGTTGAGCTTAATGGTCACCTCATTAGTTATCTCTTTGCAGCCAAGCCATGGCATACAAGTTTCCATCTTGGACAGTCGAAAACTTCCCAGCGGGCACAACCTCCTCTGTCCCAACCCTGCCACAGTCACAACATCCAGATTGGACCTGGACTCTTTGACTTTTCCTTGTCTTTCCTGACCCAACATTTTATCGACCTCATAGTTGAGGAAGACACTGCTGGCAGGCTGCAGAGAGCCAAACCAGAACCACATCAGTAAGTAGAGAATCAGCAGAGTAAGGAGAAGGAGACAGACCACATCGCGCTCACGTACACGACGCATCGTTACGATATCTGCCAACTCTGATCTGTAACAAGTTTGTAATAAAATTAGCATTTATAATCTATAATATTATACAATCAAATGACATCGAAGTTGACCAAAAATGACATGGTGAGTGCCATATAGCATGACTGGATATTATGGATTCTAGTGGAAAAACAAATATCTTAGACTTCCATTAGTAAAATACAAGGACATGAACAGTCCCACTGTAGAATAGTAAACCCGT